AGAGGTGATTTCCACCCTCTCTCTCTCTCTCTCTCTCTCTCTCTCTCTCTCTCTCTCTCTCTCTCTCTCTCTCTCTCTCTCTCTCTCTTATAGAGCAAAAAAGACGTACAAAATGGAATGCACAGAGGCTAACGAACCAATCTACGTCGAAGCAAACACGGCATCAGCTATCTAAGCAGCAACAGACTTAAAAGTTAAAACTGCATCTGACTGCGGTCAAAGCTGACCTTACTGCCGTCAAGCAAGCTCCCACTGAATACATTCAGAAACTCATCAGAAACAAATTACAGTTAGCTACCGCGCTAAACTGCGACTAACACAACTGACAGTTCTACCCGAACTGAGAACAACGTTTCGCTGACCGATATAATTAATTATAAATAAACTAATATAAAGTGAAAAAGTTGAAGACTCGTCTTGACTGAATCGAACAGGCACCGTAACGGAATTCCATTAAGGCGAATGTGTCCTCTAGCATCATGGCTGAACAGCAGACAAGTAGAGATTCTGTGCTAGGTTTGTGAATGTTCTCTGCTGTGCCCATCACCAAAATCGATGCTTGATGTACTTACTGGCCAGAAGATCAAACTGCACCATTGGCGAGAATAAAGCTGGAGCGTGGACTTCTCATTCTTCCCTCGCGCCTGCACGGATTCCTTCATGGCTTTTCGGAAAAGCAGAGTCGAACGATGGCGTACCCCTCCACCTTGACTCCCTCGACCTTGAGCCTCACACGTCCAACCTCACATATTGTCAGAAGAAAGCTGCGGGGGGGGACGTCAACCCCACCTGTACGCAGGTAAACACAGGTCGAGTGTGATATTGTGCGAAAAGCCCTTTTCGTCTTTCTTCTTATGATCAAGCCTGAGCATGTATCATCCATCCACTGCATGGAGCGTTGCCCGCACCATTGTAGATAGGCATCCATGCCCCCACCCTCCATCGCAATCAAACGTCAGTCTGACAATTTCTTTCTCAGGCAGACTGCGATAACTGTTGGCGGCAGCAAAATGCTAGAATGCATCCCACGTGCCCCCCAGGCAATCAATCAATTAGAAATTTTGAACCAAAGGCCATCTGATTCATTAACATCATTATGGAGTTCTATCCCCATGACCAGATCCATTGCATCTGTCTACCGAGGCACTGATCAGCCATCTCTAGAGAACTATGCGTCTTCGGACTCACGGCACAGAATCTGAAGGGCAAAAGACTGCTGCTCTTCAGAATGAAGGATTTTTTTAAGTTAAAAGTTGAAACCGGAAAAAAAAGAACAAAAAAACACCGTAAAAGTAAAACGCAATGGAGGACAATGTGTGCAAACCAATTGGGTGGAGAGAATTAACATGCAAAACCCGATGGGAAATGACTCAAATGAGTCAAAAGATCAAATTTAGAAAGCACTAAGTAACTGCTGAAGAGAATGAAATGCAAAACCCGATGGAGGGAAGATAAAATCAATAAAATCATAAATTCGATAAAACGTAAAAAGCACGAATTTTATACTGCTAAGTTAGTAAGAACCACTGGAGGAAAATAAAATAAAGTAAAAATTTTAAAGACCAAATTAGTAAGTTAGTAACTATTAGTTAACGACGAATGCATTGAATGCATCCCTTTTTCCCCATCGGTTCCATCCTACCCATTCTTGAACGTAAGGGGTTAGTAAGGGGTTAATTAAAGAAGACTGATTGGAACTCGGCTCGGAAACTTTCTAAGCTATCTGCTACAGCCTCAAAAAAAAAAAAAAAAAAACGGATCATCTACAAAACAGCATATTAATTAGCTCGATCTGATCTCTCTCTCTCTCTCTCTCTCTCTCTCTCTCTCTCTCTCTCTCTCTCTCTCTCTCTCTCTCTCTCTCTCTCTCTCTCCT